TCCCATTTGTTTATTTTTCAGGCTTTATGGGAGGGATTTTATTTCTACCACTAAGTGCTTCTCATTGTCCAGATCAGCCCAGCATCAGGGAGCGACATGGGTACATGCTGGACGTGGCCTGCGTCCACCTGCATGCGGACTTCCTGGGGTCCCCGAGCTCTCAGCCGGAGCTGCTGCGATGCCCAGCACCTCTTCCAGGGTGATGGAGGCCATCACGACCTCCACTGCTCAGGTGACGGCGGCAGTGAGAGGCAGCAGGAAGGCGTGGACGCCGTGGTCCCTGGTGGGGGACGGCTCCTGCACCTTGTCAGAGGAGCCCATGGGACGGGGCTGGCCTTGCACGGGCCTCTGGCATGTCAGACTTGAAAAAGGAGAGAGGGCACCCCATCTTGATGCCATAGTGGATTAATACCTTCACATTCTGAAAAACTGGTCTGACCTGGCTTCCCTTGAAATGCAGAGAAACAGGTTGTTGGTTACAGTTCAGGCCAGAAGAACTTGGCCGGGATGTGGACAGATGGGGCACGTTCTGTGGGAGCCACAGCCCGTGGCCCCTGAGGGTGGAGGGGGGACGGGTGGAGCTGGTGCCTGCTGCCTCTGACCACACACCTGAGCGCAGTCAGGTGTCCTGATGACTGTCTGTGGGTGGCCTTGTCTGAGTATTGCATTTACAGGGCTTTGTGCCCTGCTCCTGTTGGTCACAGGGAGGCTCATTCCTGGGGTCAAGGGCATCGACTTTGGAATCAGACCACAGACCACTTTCAGTTCTGCCTCTGAATAACCACATAGCGACGGTCACTACCGGCGAGTCGGAGTCTGCGAGCCTCGGCCTTTCCAGGGCAAGTTGTGAACTTAGTGCACCAGGGGCACGTGGAGCATTTGCGCAGTTGAAGATCTTTTATGTTGGCTTTTGTTATAAGCTGTTTTTATAATTTTTTAAAAAGTAACACCATATATTAGGGGAAAAAGTGATTGCTGCTTCTCCCTTCAGGATCTCCTAATCAAATTATAGCAGATAAAGTTTATTGAGTTATACTCTAGTAAATTACTGAATTTAAGGTTGTTCTAATTTCGTGGACTCTTAAAATAAGTCATTGCTTGGTTTTCTTCTCAGTACTTTTTTATTTTTTATTTTATTTTGTTGATATACGATGTGGTTGATTATTGTGGCCCATTACTGAAACCTCCCTCCCTCCTCCCTCTCCCTGCTCCNAAAACAAGAAAACTTACCAAAAGCGAAGTGTGAGGACTGATCCCAAAACAAGAAAACTTACCAAAAGCGAAGTGTGAGGACTGATCCTAAAACAAGAAAACTTACCAAAAGTGAAGTGTGAGGACTGTGGGAGGAAAAGGGCTCCTTCTTGTCAGTGCGGAGCTCCCCAAATGCAGAGGACAGCAGACGCACGTCCTGTTCTCCAAGCCCTGGCTACCCAGACTGGGCCATCCCAATGCCACGGCTTTAGTGCTTTTAATTGTTTCTTTTTAAATTATACAAGAAATACACAGATGTGTTCTCATTTCAAAAGTTAAAAAAAGGGCTGGCCAGTGGCGCACTGCTACAGTGCGCCGCTTGGGAGCGTGGTGGCGCTCCCGCCAAGGGTTTGGATCCCACATACAGGCCGGTTCCGCTCACTGGCTGAGCGAGGTGCGGGAGCAACACTGAGGGTTGCGATCCCGTTGCCAGTCCCGGTCCGGTACGGGTGCAACACTGAGCGTTGCGATTGGTTGCCGGACACGAAAAAAGACAAAAAAAAGGAAAAAAAAAAAAAGTTAAAAAAAAGTACTAATTATAGGATAAAAAGTGACAGTCACGCTTCACTAGAAAACCCCCATGTCCTTCCTGCTCAGAGGTAATTACTGTATTGTCATCAGTTTGGTGTATATGTTTCCAGAGTTTTTTCTATACACATATAAACACAGAAATGAGAGAGTGGAAACCAAAGAAAAGATGAACTGAGAAAAATCAGGTTCTTTGGAAAAACTGATAAAATAGATAAACCCTTGACGAGACTGATAAAGAAAAAGTGAACAGGATGTATAGGAATGAAAAGGGTGCTGTAATGTGAAAATACGTGGAGACTTTTAAGACTCACAAGAAAATACAAAGAAAACGAAAACACAAAATGGATGATTTTGAGAAAAATATAGCCCAACAAAGCTGAGTTGAGAGAGAAAACAGGACACGGCGGGCGTGGGCACGGACACAGAGACTCCCGTCAGCCCTTTGTTTTTCTTTTAGATAAGTTTTGTAGAAAACAGAAAGAGATAAACTCCTCATCCGCTCATTTTTATGAATCTGTTGTAACCTCGATGCTGTGCGGTAATCTCAGTGATGAACAGAGATACGCAAACCCTAATTAAAATAATAATGTCAGCAACTTAAATCTAGAGCTGGTGATTACTATTTCTCATCTAG